AGGGCGCGCGGCCGCCCGCGGGCCTGCTTCCGCCCGCGGTCCCGCTCGCCCGCCTTTCCTACGAAGGGGACGAGTTAGAAATAAAGGGTCTTCCGGCATAATTTGGGACCGGCGCGCCTGAGAAGTCCACTTTCTCTGGTCCGGGGAGGGCAAGGGGAGGGGAGGACCGCGCAGCGGCGCCTGACGCGAGCAAAGGGGCGGACCCGCCGGTGCACGCAGCAGCCGACCTCTTTTAAACACTCGGACACCCGCCGCCTCCTACTCGGTGCAGCTGGGGACCAGGGACGCGTCGGACCCGCGCTCAGTGCCTGCACCGCGCTCTCCTCGAGCGGGGCTGAGCTGCTCCTCTTCCGCCAAAGATGCCCCGTTATGAGCTGGCTTTGATCCTGAAAGCCATGCAGAGGGTGAGTGGGTGTGGACGTTGGGGGGGAGCAGCCCCGGCCCTTCTCGGTGCCCTTGTCCTTCCCCCCTTTTCTCCGCCAGGCACCCCACTTCCCTTCGTGGGCCCCGTTTCAGCCGCTCTGAACTCCCCAGGCCGCCGAGCTCCCTGCAGGCTCCTTCGCGCCCTGGGTTTCTTCCCAGCAGCCTTGGACGTCCGTTCATCTGTCCTTCCTCCGCAGCAACGTGTGGCTCTGGAAGGACGGGCTTTTCCCGCCATTGCTGTCTTTTCTTTCATTATCGTTCGCCGAATGGCTTCTGGAGGAAGAGGGAGCAATTTCGCTTTGGCAGTTCAAACAATTGAGCTGTTCTGCTTCTTAAGCGAGCCCCCCCCCGCCCTTCCCAAACACTGAAAGCGCACGTGTACTCTCGTTTCTTAACAAAACGCGATTAAAGGAGTCGCTCTTTGTCGTTCACAAAAAGGTGCCAGGTTTTAATTACTTTTTTCCTTCACTGAATCGCTTGGGTTTTCGCACGGGCCGCACATGCAGGGGTTTCTTTTTAAGCACAAAAATCGCCGCGCTGCCTGGTGGTAATTCTTGGCGGTGTTTTATCGGGCCTGGTCGCAGCTCCATTTGCACCGTGTCATTTTTGCACTTGTTCTGGAAAGCTGTATGCTTGGTTACAGGTACCCTGATAGTTGTTAGTTAGGTTAGTTGGCAACCTTTTGGATGCTTCCTCCCTACCGGAAGCCTTTGATTTCCAAGTCATACAGGAACATAAATTAATTTTATACATATAAATAGAAGATAAATTGCTGGGACTGATTTTTTTAAAGATAATTCCAGGAACCTTTAGACTTAACTTTAAAACTAGCTGGCCTTTCCTAGTGAGCCTGAAAGGTAGCATTGAAAGACTGCTTGATTTTCTTACTAGTAAGTGTAAATGGTATTCAAAATACAAATGGCACAATGGGTAGAATCAGGTGGGAGCCCATAAGTCAAGTGTAGAGGGCCTACTTTTCACCTTGCAGGTTTGAGGCTGATGCAGAAATTCCCCAGCTGCACTAGAAAATGCTGAGGAAGTTTCCTGAAGCCCACACTGGTGACTCAGTACTGAGGTGTCTGACTCCATATAAGACAGATTCTGATATTGGTAAATACTAAAGAGCATGACATAGTTTTGAAAAAGAAAATAGAGAATGGCACTGTATTTACATGTCCTTATTCAGGTAAACTGGTAATGAATATTTTAATTAGAAAATTTAGTTTTCTCATAAATACTCTGCAGAAGGCTGTGTAGCTCACAGTATCCCCTTGCACTATAATCCCACATGCCACATAAGTGCAAAATCCCACTGAGTTTAGTGAGGCTAACTCACAAGTAAATATATATGGTTACAGCCTGAAAATAACCTGTATTTTTGCTTATGGAGTTCTTTGCTTAGTAAAACTTCATTATATGCATTATAGGAGTAATTCTATATTCTGCATCCATCTTTCTGAACATATATAGTCACTTTTATTGGGGTCTAGTGTTTCTGAGATGTTTAGGGGCCTGGTTTTGCAGATTTTGGAATGTTCTCATTTTGTTTCTGATTACTGTACCTTAATTTAATGTTGAATTTTCATAGATTTCCTGGGGTATTCCCATAGAATACAAGATAAATTAGCAGTTATGTTTCAGGCATGAGAAACACTGATTTTTCAATAGTTTCTTAATGTTCGTAGAATTGTGCTTCTTTGGAGTATAAGCTGTTGCCTGAATTTCAGACCATCTCAAATATAAAGTACATTTTAAAATATTTTAGAAAGTGTAGAGACAATTCCTGTTGAAATGGTACCTAACATTCTTCTGTGAAGCAGCATATAGGCATTTCTGAATTAAAGTCCAAAGTATTAGGATGTTTCAGCTGAAGAGTTCACAAGAGTACAGTAAGACCTGCAGAAATAGCCCCTTTGTAGTAATGTCTTAGGCTGTCAGCTGATCTAAAGAAACAAAGCTTATCTTCTTAGAGGCATTATGTGCCCAAGAAATATAGTCTGTGGATGATACCCACAGGACTTTCTTTATCAGTCACCTTTAAATTCCACATCTAAACAGAAGTCTTCCAAATCACTGTTGTATAGATTTAAAAATACAGATAATTCAGTGTGGCCTTTTAATTTTCAAACAACATAGAGAAGGAAAATTGCTTTAATTTGGTCTGCATTTACATTTAGAAATCTGAGTCCAAAGAACATTGATGGACTGGTGTACTGCTAGTGAGGTGAAACCTACAACTGTGTTCTGATGGATTGATTTCACCAAGAGCGTAAGTTTTCTGAGGATAAAAATATTCTGATATCTGAAAATATCTGAATCAATTCAGATAGAAATATAGTAGAATCAAGAGTGGAAACTTCCTAATCTAAAATATTTAGTTAACACCATAAATAAATTAGTTGGGAATATCTAAAATATTTGCAGTATTTGGTATTTTCATGGAAGAAATTAAAGATCAAGCACCATTTGTCTTAATGACTGAAAGTTTAGTGTGTCCTATAACAAACATGGAATTTAAAAGTAAGCTCTTTGATTTAAATATAACATTCTTTTAAAACAAATTGCAGTTTAGTGGCTTGAGATATATCTCCCATTCCTATTTTATGTACTCACCAGAAGAGGGCAAGAGAGCTAAACTATTTTCTGCTTAGAGTATATTTTATTCCATTCATAGAAAAGTGGTTCACTGACTTCACCTAACTTATCTGTGATGAATGAAGAAAAACTACACACTTAAAATTGACCCCTCCAGCAAGATGTATTATTCCAAATTACTTGGGGAATTTTCAGATTGTTTTACTACATAGTAAATACAGCCTACCCCCCCCCCCCATATATATCATTTGAAGCTATTGATTCTCTTTTGGTAAAATGTATTTAGGTATATAGCTTACATATTGGGAAATAGCAAAGTTTATTATAGAACAGGTTGTTAATAAGAGAGTTACAAAAATATACTGCTTTCCCCCAATATGTAAAGGAATAGAACAAGAATGATGAAAAGCAGAGTAATGCACTAAACGGTTAACTTGGTTATGCATTATGAGTTTTTGTATAATTTCTTCATTTGGAAGTTTTGTCAGTTCCATGTCTTAGAAATGTGAACTTTCATTTATTATCTCATTGTTTATGGCCAAAATTGTATTTTTGAAAAGCTAAATATTTGCTTAGATATATTTATGGAGGCCAGAACCCATTTCTTTACATTTAGAGTTGCATACTACTGTTGGTTGCTTCTTTGAATCCTCCTGTTGGTTGATTGGCTTGAAAAATGGGCACTGATCCTTAAGTATTGATTGTGTGCTTTAAAAATTGACTTTATGAAATTTAGTTAGTCATATCTGCTTACATAAGATATCAGTTACCAGGGTAATGATGGGGTTGTTATGTAATTGGCAAGTTCCATTGCAAGGCAGTTTCAAGAGTTTAGGGCCCAAACTATATGTGATTAGCATCAGGTTACATGTGTAAAATTAGGCTTATTCAATTACGTGCAGAGCAGGAAATAAAAACTGCAAAAGGACAAAATGAATTGGGGTAGATTTCAGCAGTCCCTGTCCATTTATCTTTGATTGTTCAATTATGTATTGTATGTATATGAATTTAAAGATAAAGGCCCATCGCCATCATTTTTATTTTAGATGTGATTGCTCTTTATACATGCTACCTGATCTAGACCATTCAATAGACCAGTGCCAGTTTAAGTTGGCTTTAGTTGGCTTCTTAATGGAGTGGGTAGCTGCTTGCAGGGTCAAATAAGGTAAATAGCGTGAGGGCAGAGGGAGTGCTGCTTTAATAGTGATTGAACTATTAACAGTGCTACTTCTTTTTAGTCTTTAGTTCTTTTCTTCCCTTTTTCTGCTTATAAGACAAGTAGAAGGGAAAAATCCTTGATAGAAAAAACCAAATAGAAACGTTACAAAGAATATGATATTGCTGATCAGTTACTGTGTTGTGGTTTGTATTTTATTTTAGCTAGTTTGGAAATGGTAGAAATGATGCAATTTATTAGAAATACTAATGTTGAAGACTTATTTCTGTTATTGGAGAATACTTAATTAAAGTTCCCTGCTGACACTAGGGCTGTATGAACAGTACATATGGAATTACCTTAGTTAAAAGACACATGAAAATAACCTTTAGTACTGATGATTGATCATTATGGTTAAAAAATTTGATCTCTGTATTTGAAGATAGGTCTTATCTAGCGCAAGTAGGTCAGAAGGTAAATCATAATGAACCACTGATCTGTTTCTTGGTAAAGTATCTGAACTCAGCTTGAGGGAAATTTGATTTTATTACTCTTGAAAGGATGTAAGGCTAAATAGAACTTATTCTGATACAGCAAAGCATTTCTGTTTTTAAGCAATTCTTTTTACGTAAGTTTGCCCTCTTACCTGCTTCAAAAGTTCTCTTTTTCTTTGAAGGATAAATTTAAAGTTAACTAGTGCCCATAATAATTCTAATTTTAAAAATAGATAGGATTAATAGGAACCTGCTTATCCATCTACCATGATTCACATCTGCCCAACCATGTCTTGCCTTACCTTAAAATACAGTGATATTTTCTTGCGATCAGAGTAAAATATGCTTAGGAAGAATGAAAATAATTTAACTGTAATTTTTTAATAACTTTGTGCCTTATTTTGACTCCTGTATTAGTAGGAGTTGGTGACCAGCAAGACTAGTGGCCAAGAAGTCTGGGGTTTTTTCCCCCTTTTTTTGTCACACAGGCACTCTTACGTACAGCAAAGCACTGAACAAATGGAAAATAATATTTAGCAGCCTTGCTGATAAGTACTGTTTGTGCTGAGGGAAAAAGATCAAGATGGCACTTTGCTGAGAAACCTGTCTGTGCCCTGTACAATGTTGCAACTGCACTTTTCTGTTCAACTAGCAAACCATCAAATCACATAAAGGAGAGATTCAGAAATGCTATATATTCCTGTAATTACAAGGACAGTCTTTTTCAGGAAGATAC